GTAAAGGAACACTAGGAATGGGATGTGTAGTTTTCTCCAGGGAATAGCACACCAATTTATTCCAGAGTCAAATGTTCATTCCTGAAAACATACAGACAAGTACATTATACCCAAAGAAGTTATATTTAGGAATATGCATATATATGTATGCAATAACAATCAATGTAAAAATACATGATGAATTTAAAGGACGGTTTGGAGAGTGTGGAGGAGTATATACAAAGATTTTGATGGGGGAAAGGGAACGGAGAAATGTAATTTCATTATAATTTCAAAATTAAAAGATAAAATAAAGTAGGTAAAAAGACAAAATTAATCCCCAAATACAAAATCAAATGCTTTTTTAAAAAAAGTAACTGAAATAAAAACAGCACAGATTTAAAAGTCAAGCAGCAGGTAGTGTGCCATTTACAAACATCATCTCTATAGGACAACAGACAAAAAAAGGAAGCTTATGTAAAACACTGTAGACAAATGGAAGATGATTACCATGGGTCATTGGGATTAAGAGAGAAGAAAAGACAATGGAAAGTAGAAAGTAAAGCAAAGACAATGTAAGAGGAGAGGAATCTTCGGTGTCTAATTTGTGTGTCTCATTTCGGAGTAAAGAGTGTGCTGAGAGTTTCTGCAGACGTGTAACAGACAAATACTCCCTTAAAAATCTTTTTTCCTCTCATCCCTATAAGGCTTTATCAGTCTCCAGTTTGAATCAAACAGTCACCGGATGTGAATAATACAAAGAACACATGAAATCGTCATTCTCTCAAGAAAAAAGCAAGGGCAGGGAGAAACAGAGAAACTGCTATCCAGCAGTTTGGTGTTAGGACAGATGACATCACAGTCTCTGAAGCAGAAGCATTTCAGAATAGGAGAACTCCAGTTACATCAACACAGGTTAACAGTTTCAGCAGCCCAGAATGAAGACCTTTAAATGTTGACTTTATCACTAAAAGGACTGAACCTTTCAGGAAGATGTTTTCATAGTTCATATTTGTTTTCTATTGCTTTTAAACTGACATTTTCTATAACGAGATCTATCCTCCAAGGACTTTTTTAATGATTAAATGAGACAACAATGGATAAAGATTATTTCACTTTCTGAATTGAAACACATGCTTATAAACATTGTTATATGCTGCCTTTAATTTTATATATTTTATTTTTTAATTGTATATGCATTATTATCTAAGTCAGATTTCAACTATCATCCTCTGTTGCTCTCTATAGTTACTATTTATAGTAGTGAAAAGACACCACAACCAAGACAATGTATAAAAGAAAGTTTCTAACTGGGGGCTTGCTTGAAGTTTCAGAGGGTCAATCCATGGTCACCTTGGTGGGAAACATGCATGACAGCTGGCAGACATGGGACTGCATCAGAAACTGAGAGATTGTATCCAAAAATGGAAGCAAAAAGAGGGCAAGACTGGGTCACCAAAACATGAGGAACTATTACTAATGGTCACAACTTTAACAAGGTTGAGAACAACTGCTTCAAAGTGTTATTTTTTCTATGACATTTTTGTATGTACTTTTATCATATAATTATTATTAACTTTTTCTAATCACAAATATATATGTACATATATGTATACACACACACA